GGATTTTCCCACATGCTCGCCTCAGCCAATCATTGCTCTCCTCCAAACCAAGGTTTCCTACGAGTGCGTCTGATTGGTGGAGCCTGAGTCACATGCCTGCCCTGAGGCGCAAGGGAAGCTGGGAAAGCGAGTTATGACTTCTGTGTCAGGGCGGCAGGTCTCATAGGGAGGGAAATTTTCCACATTTGGGACGGGAATTCCGAAGTCTAGGCAGGACAACAGGACGATAGCCACTGCCGCCGTCTCCTATACAACAGGCTGTTTTCTTCTCTGCCTGTCCGACACAGAGCAGGGGCTCAAGACACGGGGGCCTCTTCCCCGGCCAGGCCTCCCTGCTCGGGCTCCCGCGCTTGGAATTTCCTCCCAGGGACCATGTCAGCGTCACCAGCGCTGAGAAAGGGAGGACGACCAAATTAACATGCAGACGTTTGCCTGGCTCAGCTGCGGCAGCTGGTTTCTAACACGGATACATGCACGTATGCAAGTGGATTTCAAAGATGCTGTTCTCTAAAGCAAAGCTGGGTGCGGACAGTCACTATTGTCAGGATCTTACAGTCCCTCACCCAACGGATGCTGAAAGAATGTATCTGTTTTGCCTGATTGCCACCTCCTGTGCCCACTTACACTTTTTTCAAGAAACACATTGAATAATTTAGAAGCAATAAGGGAAATTTTTGTATATAAAAATTAAAAACATTTGCATGACAACAACATAAGAATGAAAGTGATAAATGTTACCCTTGGAAAATATTTGGAATTTAAAACACAGTGGCAGTGGCAGTGGGAGAACACCCCTGGAGGTGACCAGCGGGGGGAGGGGGTGGACATTGTTCCTGGATATTGTGGCCGCCAACCCTCATCCTCAGGCCCTGTGGGGTGTGGGAGGTCCCTGATATTGTTTAATGCTGAAAAGCGTCTGGCAGTGCTCATCACTGAAGGCTTGTCGGGAAGGAGACACTTCGGAAATGTGCAGCGGACGTGCAGCTTCAGCACAGCTACTTACACAGCTATTTACAACGAGTTGTTCTTAATATACAAGTTTCTATAGAGTGTCCCAAAATCATAGGAGGAAGAAAAACCCTAGGGAAAGGAAAATGAGCCAAGAAATGACTAAGCAAGTCACAGAAAAGAAAAATCTAAATTGTATGAAAGAGACATCGCCTTGCGAATATGAGAAAGCTAAATTATCTTTAAAACGACTTTAGCTTAAAGCTTATAACCAAGACCAGATTTACCCTCTCACTTGGATAATAATAAAAAAAATAGACAAACGGTCCACAACAGTCGCTTTCAAGACATGGAGCATCATGAAGGACAGGGACCCTGAGAGGCGGACACAAATGAGGTGAGGCCCACAGCTGTGCACTTCCTGCCCAGGAGGCCTCCTAGGCCCTGTTGTGGGGAGGGGAGCGGGGAGCCTGGAGCTCCTGGGGGTGAGGCCATGCAGATGAGAAACTTAAGTCCAGGTGGCCAGAGACTGCCAGGCAGAGTGTGGAAGCTGAAAGGACAGCAGGGCAGGACGCAGAGTCCTGCAAAGGGCCGCCCTCCACCATCCAGGAGACCACGGTCAGCACATGCGTGAGAGCAAACAGTGTTGAGGCCAAGGAGAGAGCCCCCTGGAAGGTGCAGACTGGAAACCCTTGTTGGTCAAGAGCATTGTCTTAATAATCCTATATAATAAAGAGGTAATATGCAAATTGACTGTCACACCCTCACACAAGATGGCTGCCCCCATGTGGTCACAAGATGGCCAGCAGGGGAGGGCAGTAGTGGGTGATCAGGCTGGCAGGGGAGGGCAGTTGATGGCAATCAGGCCAGCAGGGGAGCAGTTAGGTGTTTATCAGGCTGGCAGGGGAGTGGTTAGGGGGTGATCAGGTTGGCAGGCAGAAGCAGTTAGGAGCAATCAGGCAGGCAAACGGTTAGGAGCCGGCAGTCCCTGATTGTAAGAGAGATGTCCGACTGCTGGACATCCTCCAAGGGGTCCCATATTGGAGAGGGTGCAGGCTGGGCTGAGGGACAACCCCCCTCCCCCCTGCATGAATTTCATGCACTGGTCCTTTAGTGGGTTATAATGGTCATAGACTAGACACTGCCCTGGTCCCAGCTCACGACCTGACAAACCACACTCCAACGGATCAACACGTTTCTAAGTGTGTCCCTGCACACCAGGGCACAGCTCAAGGCTATTTATAAGAAATGCAAATATATCAGCTCCTAACATGCTCATTGGTATTCAATTAAGAAATCCCAGGCATGTACAGAAGCAGAAAATATGATGCAGAATGAAGGAGGAGTCATCGACTGAACTGAACCCAGGGCTGACACTATGGAAATCTGTGGGCTGTCGCGAACACATTTCCTTGAGGGACATTTATAGCATTAAGTGCCTGTGTCAGAAAAGAAGACAGATCTCAAGTCTATGACCTCAGATTCCCCCTTAAGAAACTTGGAAGCAAAGAGGAAATTAAACCTGCAGTGCATTGAAGAAAGAACATAAGGAAGATAGAAGCAGAGATCAATAAGAGGAAAAACAGTGGAGAAAGCCAATGAAACTGAAAGCTGGTTCTTTGAAAAGATAAATAAAATGGATAAGCCTCCAGCCAGGTTAATCAGTAAAAACCGTAATCAATGAACACAGATTATGGAGACGAGGACAAGAGCAACGGTATCGCTACAGATTCCACCAAAATGAAAAGGGTGACAAGGAAACGCTATGCACAGCTTTATGCCAATAAAGAACAGCTTAGACAACATGGAAACATTGCTCAAAAGACATGAACTACTAAAGAGCATTCAAAAAGAAAAGGTAACCTGACACATTCTATATCTTTAAAGAAATGGAATTTTTAGTTGAAAGCCTTCCATTAATGAGAACTCCAGGCACCAAAATCCGCTGGTGAATCTGACCAATATTTAAGGCAAAAAAATAATTCCGACTCTCCTCATACTCTTCCAGAAAAGTGAAGTCATAATAAATATTCCAACTCATTTTATGTGGCCAACAACACCTTGACTCCAAAACCCAAAAGACATTTACAAGCAGAGACAACTACAGACCAATATCCCTCATGAACTTAGATGCAAAAGTTAACGAAGTTCTAGCGAATAGAAATCAATAATGTATTTAAAAAGGATAGTACTATATCAAGACCAAGTTGAATTTATCACAAGAACACAAAATTGATTTAACATTTTATAAAATCAACCCATGTATTCATCCTATAAAGAATAAGAAAACCACATGATCATCTCAATAGACAAAAATCAGGCAGACTGGAAAACCTTGTAGGTCCAGGTTTTCATTTGAACAAATCCAACATTAATTCCTGATTAAACCCATCAGCAAAGTAGGACTAGAAGGGACACTCCTCCGTGATAAAGGGCATCCATGCAGAACCTAAACCAACACCAGACTTAATGGTAAAAGATGCAACCGGGAAGAAATCAATTACATCTGTGCTAACAACATCTATTAAACATTGGACTGGACACTAGCCAGTGCAATAAGGCAAGCTAAAAAAAAAATGTCCAGGTTGGAAAAGATAAAAGCTGTCTTTACTCAAAGACTCCAGGATTGTCTAAGTGGAAAAACTGAAGAAATGTATAAAAAAGCCACTAAATCCAACGAGTGACTTCAGCAAGCTTGCAGAATACAAGTAAACAAACAAAAACCATTGTATTTCTACACGCTCTCCATGGAAAAAACCAACAATCCAACTTTAAAAGCAATATGATGCACAATAGTATTCAAATAGTTGGGACTTAGGATTGCGCTTCGATGTGGGAGAGAAAACTGAAACTCGTGGACACAGACAGCAGTGTGGCGGCCGTGAGAGGGAAGGGCTGGTGGGGGTGAAGGGGGCCTCATAGACCGCGGCGGATGATTTGACTTCGGGTGGTACAGCAAATGCTATACAGGATGATACACAGATGATGTATCATAGAACTGTACACTTGCAACCGATATGATCCTATGAACCAACGTCACCTCATACATTTAATAAAAAATACTTGATATATATGGATAGACCTGCCAAAAAGCCACTGAAAACTGTAAGCATCACAATTTGCACCTGAGCAGTAACCGTGGCCATGGATGCACACACAGCATGTCCACAAAGACAGGTCACCTGTTGTCTGGAAACACACCCCCAGCCAGGTCCCTGTCCACCGCGCTGCGTGTACACTGATGGGAACTGCACGGAAGACCTGGCCTTCACGCCGCCAGAGGAAACGGGGTGTCTTGGGCAGATGAGGGTTTGAAGTTGGGAGACCCGGGTTCAAAACCAGGCCTCCTCCCCCACAGGGGGTGTGGCTGCAGGCAAGACTTGCTGGGGCAGGGCCGCCTCCTTGCTGGGGGCACAGAGGGGTGCGAAGTGGGCGCAGCAGGGAGGGCCCAGCGGCTCGCACGGAACAGGTGCTTCCTCAGAGCCCTCGCCTTCGCTTCGCTGGGGACGGACTCCTTCCCAATCACCTCCTACCCACAGGAAGGGCCCCACGGCCATCGCCTTTGCCTGGCTCTCGGGGATGCTCACCCCACGGTCTGGTCCAGCCCCTGTGAGGTCTCAGGGGCCCCAGGCGCTGCTGTGCGGACTGGATTCCCTCATTTGTAAAGAGGAGAAAGGGCTCACCCACGTGGCTCAGTGGTTGAGCATTGACCTATGAACCAGGAGGTCACGGTTCAACTCCTGGTCAGGGCACGTGCCCAGGTTTCCAGCTCTGTCCCCAGTGTGGGGTGTGCAGGAGGCAGCCGGTCAATGATTCTCTCTCATCACTGAGGTTTCTCTCTCTCTCTCCCCCGCACCCTTCCTCTCTGAAATCAATAAAAATATTTTTTTTAATAAAGAGGGAAAAGTAACTCTGACTTGAATTGGAGACGTGTTCTGGCCACTGGAACGAGAGGGCAAATCGCTGTGGGACAGGTCGCGTGGCCAAAACGCAGACGCAGTGAAAAGTGGGCGTTCCCACCTACAGCGAAAAGGAGTTCCGCTGAGAAGAGCTTTGTGTAAAATACATTTATTCTTGAAAATTCCCGACAAACACAGAATATGTAAGAAGAGAGAGCCTTGCCTTCCACACCCAGCCCTTTCCGCAGCCGGACACTGGAGGACGTGCAGGGGGGCTGGTCACCGCAGGCCCTCGGGGTGCGGGCACCGAGTGCTCACGGCTGGTCCCCTCTCACCACGTCCCTCCAAAGGGAACGGGCCCTCTTGGAATTCATAAGAACAGAGCAAACTGGGTCCCTGAAAGTCGGGGTTTGTTGGGGTGTCTGTGTCTGCCACCTGCAGTTGACATTTGCAGATTGTGCCCTATACCCACACAGGTGGGCAGGAGAAAGCACGTCGTCCCGTCTTCAGTCCCTGGCGCCTTCCTGCTGGCTAGTCCACGCCCGCGGCCCAGGCGGCCTTCTTGGCATTCAGGAAGTTCTTCTTCTTCCTGGGAGGAACGCGCAGCGAGATCTCTGGCTCCTCGGGATTTCTGAATATAAAGAGCTTTTCGCCCGTGTTCAATAAATCAATGGCTTCTGCCCCGACGATGGGCACGGGCACCAGGTCGCCACTGGACTCCAGGGACAGGTGTGGCCAGCCCCCTTTCCCTGAGCACACCGTCCGCTCTCTGAGAGGGGGGCACGTCTTCCTCAGTATGCTGCAGACAGAACGGAAGATGACATGAGTGTCCTGGGAGCACCCCCTTCTCTGTCCCTAGGTCCCCAATGAAGTACCATCCTACAGAGAGGCTTTCTTGTTGGTCACCAGATGGCCCCTGAAACTGGCTGCAGACAACCTGACTGACTCACAACCGTTCCATTTTCAAGAGTTTCACCTGTTGCCATCCTGTTGTTTGCTTGCAATGAGCCACGGTGGGAGTATTTACACCATGGAAATTGGCACATGCTACACATAGAGCCCCTGTCCCCCTCCCAGGATACCTCTGTCTGTGGCCGTCACACTAAAAGCTGGCGGTAACACTTCATTACAAAGCAACAGAAGTTGGGGAAAAGGTGCCTGACGCAGGAGAGAGGGACACACTTTGGGAATGCGGCCCAGGATGCCTTCGCTTGCCCATCCTGATCCCAGGCAATCGACTGTGTTCTCTGATGGAGCCCTTCACAGTTGGAACAGCTCGAATCTCCTTTTCCTGGTTTGGGCTCAATATTCGGATCTAATGTCTTGGGGACTAAGCTGTTCTGCAGCCTACTGACCACGTCTCTGAGGTATTTCTCGGGGACACTTAGGGGGCGTGGTCTCGGCACCTGCACCGGGGCTCTGAGAAATTAGGGGAGTGGACACTCCCCTTGGATTCCCACTGTTCCCAGGGCCCATGCTGGAGACCATGTTCTAGTGCAGCCATGGGCAAACTACGGCCCGCGGCCCGTTTGAAATGAATAAAACTAAAAAAAAAAGACCGTACCCTTTTATGTAATGATGTTTACTTTGAATTTATATTAGTTCACACAAACACTCCATCCATGCTTTTGTTCCGGCCCTCCGGTCCAGTTTAAGAACCCGTTGTGGCCCTCGAGTCAAAAAGTTTGCCCACCCCTGTTCTAGTGGCTAGCCCATCTAGAATCTAGCCCATCATGAACTAGCTGGTGCTCCTTTTTCTCCATATCTTCTACCGTGGGCATCACTGGAGACACTGGTCAACTGTTTGCAGCCATCTGCAGCCACTCCGCCCTGCTCCCCTCTGCTCCCTGGGGGTGTGGGTACCAGTTAAAGGAGGAAGACACTTGGTAGAGAAGAAAGCACTGGCCTGGGAGTGTAGGGAGAAAAGGGGCCAGTTAGATGTCCCAGGTCCCAGGGCCACTCCTTACAGCGCAGACCGGGGCCTCTTCATCTGAGCTCCCTGAGCTCTGGGGTTACCGTCCCCACTTCCTGGGAGGCTCAGTGCAGTAAGACAGGCTTCTCCAACCACAAAGTCAACAGCTGTGAGGAGCTACCCTCCTTCTAATGATATCCCACTAAAAAAGGTCCACTGGTTAAAAGGCGTACAGTAATCCAAGTACTGACGTAGGATAAGCGAACACTCCCCACTAGCTGGCGGCTCACCCTCAGCTCCTGGAGTAGGAGGAGACTGTGGTCTCTAGGAAGGTTGGCCCCTTCTCGTCCGTGCCCCTTCCACCAGCTCCCAGGCTGCCCTCCGGCTCCAAGGCTGCCCTGGTCCCAACCCCCCCTCCCCACTCCCTGCAGCAGGTACCCGTCATTACCTCTCCTTCCTCCGGCGCGCCCACAGCATCTTGTCCCGGCCGCTGCTTCTCAGTTCTCCGCGCAGCCTGCTCTCTAAGGCCTGCCACCAGCCCTGGTGCTTCCTGAAGGCAAGAAGGAGCGTCTGTGTTCTCAGGAAGAAGAGACTCTCCCAGGGAGCCGTTACCTGGCCTGAGGGGAAGGAGCCCCACTACAAGCCCAGCAATAGGGTCCCATAGCACACGCACCTGGGGGAATATTAGGCAGCCGGTAAAAATAACACCTACAAAGGTGTTTCAACAACTGTGAAAAGCATGAATTTAAATTGTGAATAAAATAATGGAAAATATAGTCTAAATAGTGTGATAACCTATATATATAAAAGCCTAAGTGACCATTTGACCGTTTGACTGGTAGCTATGACACGCACTGACCACCAGGGGGCAGACACTCAACACACAGGCATGGAAACATGAAACAAGCTGATGAATCTCAGAGGGAAGCGGGGAGGGCGGGAAGAGAGTAACCAAAGATCTTATATGCATACTAGAGGCCCAGTGCATAGATTTGTGCACCGGTGGGTCCCTCAGCCTAACCTGCAGGGATCAGGCTGAAACCAGCAGTCCGACATCCCCCAAGGGGTCCTGGATTGCGAGAGGGTGGAGGCCAGACCAAGGGACCCCACCAGTGCATGAATCCGTGCACCGGGCCTCTAGCTAATATATAAAGTGACTTTACACATCAACCAGAGTTGGAAGAAAATAAGATCAGCTTCTGTCTGAGGTTCTGGGAAGCAAGAGGCAAGGCTGTGCACATGGGATTACTACACACACATACACATGCATGCACACATGCACACACACATGCATGTATGCAGACACATGTGCACACATGCACACACACAACCCAGCAGAGAAACATGTGAGGGAGGAAGAACTGCAGTCAAATCCCACCAGTCCTTTCCTCTGGCTGGTGGAGCCATGATTTCCCTGTTGTGTTTTTCACACTGTTTCTAGTATGTGTTTATTTTACATTGTCATTAACGTGTGTCCAGCATATCTACAGCCCAGAAACTTACTTTCTTTTTTTATTGATTTCAGAGAGGAAAGGAGAGGGAGAGAGAGAAACATCAATGATGAGAGAGAATCATTGATTGGCTGCCTCCTACACGCCCCCTACCGGGGATTGAGCCTGCAATCCAGGCATGTGCCCTTGACTGGAATCGAACCCGGGACCTTTCAGTCCACAGGCCAACGCTCTATCCACTGAGCCAAACCACTGAGGGCAGAAACTTACTTTCTTAAGATCCTACTTGAAAAATAAATTGGCGACAAAAGGAGAAAGTGTGGACAAAACATGTGGGACCACCAGAACGGGAAAACGACCCATGAGGATGGTCCTGGCAGCCCCTGCTCTGGGCAATGGCGTGCCAGCCAGGGAAGGCTATGCCGTGGGCCCCGCACCCAACGCCCCGCCCTCCATCTGTTCTCCTGACTCTTGCTCACTGCTCCCCAGGGGTGCCGGATGCTAACTCACCCCCTCTGGCCCAGGTCGGCCTGTTCCCCGCCGCCGTCATGCTCCACCGCGGGGTCCAGCTGCTTCTGGCTGAGCGACTCCAGCAAGGCCAGCAGCTCAGGCTGTGGGGCTGCGGGCAGAGCCACGCTCAGGAGGCAGCGCAGCGTGCCTGCGGGCACCATCGTCAGCTTGGACAGGTACGAGGCCAGCCGCAGCTCCTAGGGGGTAAGGCAGCGGCTCAGGCCCCAGTTCCTAGGGGCTAAGGCAGCAGCTCAGGCCGCAGTTTCTAGGGGGTAGGGCAGCAGCTCAGGCCCCAGCTCCCAGGGGCTAAGGCAGTGGCTCAGGCCGCAGTTTCTAGGGGGTAAGGCAGCAGCTCAGGCCTCAGCTCCCAGGGGCTAAGGCAGCGCAGCTCAGGCCGCAGTTTCTAGGGGGTAAGGCAGCAGCTCAGGCCTCAGCTCCCAGGGGCTAAGGCAGCGGCTCAGGCCGCAGCTCCCAGGGTCTAAGGCAGCGGCTCAGGCCTCAGCTCCCAGGGGCTAAGGCAGCAGCTCAGGCCTCGGCTCCCAGGGGCTAAGGCAGCGGCTCAGGCCGCAGTTTCTAGGGAGTAAGGCAGCAGCTCAGGCCTCAGGGCTCAGCCTGATGAAAGGCAAGTTCTAATGGATCACAGGCTTAGGATGCCTCCTCCCAGGGAAATGCATAGCCCAGGAGCTCAGTCTTAGAAACGTGTCCCCAAATCGCAGACCTGGCTCCCCATGACATTTGCACAGCCTTCGCCCATCCCTTCCAAGGACCCCCAGCTCACCCGCCGCTAACGCCCTGGCCTGCAGCAGCGACAATTACTACCGTCCCTTCTCCTACTCATGTTTGCGGAGCAGGGGTGGGGCCAGCACAGGCTCCAGAAACAACAGAAATGTCCCGAAACCATGGACAGTTAAAGAAACGTGCTGTAGCCTCCACGGGAACAGCACCGGGTGGTGAGGAAGCAGGTGGATTCGGGGCCGTGCACTGTGTGAAGAAAGCTAGGTTCTGCGGGGCTGGCCTGTGTGACTCCCTGTGTGTGACCTTCCAGAACCGAGGAGTGGCCACCAGGGCTGAGGCAGACCTTTGTGGCCCTGGGACAGTTCATCGTGGTGTTGGCTACGGGACTCCACATGTGATGATGACAGATTGTGTAGCAACGTCCTTGTCCTGGCCCAGGTGTTATGCTGGGTTTGTGAGATGCAGCCACTGGGAAAACTGAGGGAAATGTGGGAGGGGCATGGGAACCCTACGGGCTACCTTAGCAACTTCCTGTGAATCTAATATTATCTATACTAATAAAAGGGTAATATGCTAATTAGACCGGACATCTTCCGTACGTCCTTCCGGACAAAGCCATGGTGGCAGGAGCCAAGGCAGAGGCAGTTAGGGGCGATCAGGCCAGCAGGGGAGGGCAGTTAGGGGGCAACCAGGCCATCAGGGGAGGGCAGTTAGGGGTGATCAGGCCGGCAGGGGAGGGCAGTTAGGGGCTTGAGGCCAGCAGGCAGAGTGATTAGGGGTGATCAGGGAGGCAGGCAGGCGAGCGGTTAGGAGCCAGTGGTCCCGGATTGGGAGAGGGATGTTCGACTGCCGGTTTAGGACCGATCCCAGTAGTTGGACATACCCTGAGGAGTCCCGGATTGGAGAGGGTAGTGGCCGGGCTGAGGGATGCTCCCTCCCCCTCCCCACCCCGTGCATGATTTTCATGCACTGGGTCTCTAATTTCAAAATAAAAGCTTAAGAGGGAAAAGGCTCTGCATCCCAAAAACCTGGGCCAGCCCTCAGCCCCCCGCAGGAATCGCGCCTCCTCGGACAGCGTCCTTACTCTCCTCAGTGTGACCCTGGACAAGTGTCGCCTTCGCGGGACCTGCCCGGAGGGGCGATGGCAGGACCGGCCCGACAGTGAGGTCCTGAGTGTCCAGTACTTGCTGTGTCCTGTCCCAGGGCAGGTGGTCCCTCCTTTAGCCATCCCCCAGCTCTTCCCCCGGTTCCTGCTATCAGCCCGGTCCTCAGGCGGGAAAGTGGGCTCTGAGCACAGGGAGTGACGTGCTGGCAGGAAACGGAGCCAGAGCTCGGCCCACACGCCCTCACCTGGCTGTACAGGCCCACGAAGGCGTCCGCCTCCATGCGCTCCAGCAGGTCTTCGAGCACAGCGCTGCGCTCCTGCTCCTCCCGCAGGCTGCAGGGAAGCGACACCCACGTGAGCCGTTTTATGACAGAGCGACCCCGTGAGATCGCTGGTTATTTAACGAAGAATCGCCATCCACCCCACGCTGTACTGTGTTAAGTCCATGGAGACCGGGCCACAGAGGAGGGGCTACCTCTCCTCGCCCAGCCCGCTCCCCAGTGATGCACCCGAGGGCTCACCTCTGCTGCTGGCGCTCCAGGAGCTCCTGGCTCCAGCCGAG